AAAAAAACCCCAGATGGATAGCAAAGAAGAAAAACCAAAGCAAAGAAATTAATAAGGTAAGGTAAGGTCTATAGAGAAACTTCATATTACTGAACACAGATCCAGTAGCAACTTGTGTTTTGTCTGTCTGATTGAAGCAGAGCTGTGCATTAGAGCAGATTAAAGTTAGCTACCGTTATAGACAATTACAGGACTGATGGATGGCTGTGAAAAACAAGCCTCCCTCTGCTGCCAACTCTCTATTTTCGCAGAGTGACAGATCATCGGGAGGAAAAACGTAGCCAGCTCGATCAATCAAGAAGCCACACACACACACAGCAAGCACAAAAACCAATTCATCCAACACAGAGAACTGTTTTTGGCAGAAAGCTCAGACTGCCATGTTCTTCAACAAACATGTGCAATGGCATACATACAATGCATGGACATATCCACATCCACACACACACACACACACACACACACACACACACACACACACACACACACACACACACACACACACACACACACACCCAGAGAGCTGTCCAAGACACAAAAACATGTTTAGTTTGGACTAAACAGAAAAACGTACTTCTGTCCCTCGCACTATTGCAAACTGCTATAATTAAGATCTGATCGGCAATCGCATCAACATTATCAGAGTTGTTCTGGGCAATTCTCTGTCAGATCTGACAACTGGATCTCCCTTGAGGAATTTAATCTCATTCAGATGCAACAGTGTTTCTGCTACCATGGTTCATTTGTGTTCTTCCAACTGAGAGACAGTCAACAAAATTTAATTCCCACATCAGGATTCACTTGTCTCAACAGAAGGATGTAATGTGTAAATTATGAAGTGTCGGCCCTCTTCTCTCTGGCTCATATCTCTCTTCCCTGGCTCTAGGTTTCACAGGAAACAGCCTGCTTACTGCTTACTGATCTCATTACTCCTTCACCTTCTTCTCCTTAATGCTGCTTGTCCTCTGTTTAACTTTTACCCTGCTGTGTCCTTACGCTCTACGGTCCCTCTGTGAGGTAAGGGTGGTGCTAGGGCCTTTCCAACCAGATTTCATGCTGTAATGCATTTTGGAAAGATGGCCCAAAAGCTTATACATTGTTAATATCGCACAACTTAAATACACACATCTACACTCTTAGAAGACTTGATGTTACCTTACTTTGACTTTCTGTCTCTCTACGTGACTCAGTTTCTCTCTTTTGCTCTTAATCCTCGCTCTCATTCTCTGCTTCAGTTGTTCTGTCTTTATCTTTCACTCTTCTTGCACACACAACACAACACACATGAGCACCAATGCACTTACTCAAGAAGCACCTTCTGTTACTGAGCAGTGAAGCAGAAAGCTCAGAATTTATGTGAACTCCTTTATCACAAGAGGCAATGTAGACATGGCTTCCTTTCCAAACCACAATAACAGATTGCCTATCACTGCTGGAAAAACAAGGCTGTGTTTTTCTGAACTCGATGTTCCAAAACATAATTTAATTCAGTGCTTCTCTCTTAAAGACAGACACAGATTGTTAAGTCAAAGTTTATTAAAGCCTGATATCACAGGGTATGTCTCAAAGGACTGTACCTGAAATAAAACAATAATGAACTACATAAGCAAAAATTGAAAGTTTAAAAAGTGAGATAAATTACACATAAATCATTATAATCTACACATTTAGAAAATTCAAAAATATATACAAACCAAGGTAAAATACAACAATATAAAAAATGCACATAATCAACAGATTGCTGATTGTTAAGTCTAACTCCATGACGACTCCACCATGAGAAACCACCTAATTCTCCTACAGTCGAAGATGACTTTACACTCTTCCTGGAATCCTGTGTCATCTGTTTTTAGTGCCCTTGCTATTCCCATTCTCACTCCTGTATATAGCAACCTGCCCCTCAGACATTGAAAAAGGTCAACGATCTTCTTTCACTACTGTAAACGAAACAAGATCTTAAACAGAGATGTTTAAATTCTCGTTTCTGAACGCTGACAACACCCTGACATCTATCCATATGGTGTAAAAAAAAAAAAAATCGAATTACCACCATGAATGATATCACATAATTCTGTAAATGGTCACTAAAAACATCTACCCAAGAATACTGCATTGGCCAAGTGTTCAAGCAAGTTTACATTATGGTTCAGCTTCAATCCTTACACCACCGACATTAGAAAAAGTAAAGCAAGAAGTACAAAGTGCAATGTCATCTGTAGCAAAAAAATTAACCTGAATTGTTCATTTGTGATCAAATAAGAAGTCGATAATTGCCAGCTTGTCATCTTGCCCTCAAACGTGGCCCTCAGTTTGACCTACATTTCCCCAGTCAACCATGAAGAGATTCTGACCCTCCTAATTTTGTCAATGATGTTAATCTAACCATATTCTTACTATGATTTAAATGACCGCCCTCCGTGATCTCTGCCTCTCCAAAGGCTATTTGAAGCATTTAGTTTCATTATAGCAATCTCATCATACTTATAGCTTATATTACCATGTCACTGTCCATTACTGTGTCTTGTAAAGCCACAATTAGTTGACCACCTAGGCTTGCTCAGCACAGAGGGAGGTCTATAATGAGGAGAGTCATCATAGGAAGCTGTCCTCAGATGACCTGCTATGATGTGCCTAATCCTCCTCTCTCTCAAATGCACACCAGGACACATGCGCATTCTCGTACTGTATGTACAGACATCGGGGAGCGAAGATTGTATCACAAACAAGCATGCAGTGGGATTGATAAAGTGCTTGTAGTGAATGACAGGTCTGAGTCAGCGAAATCCAACAAAAACACAGCAAATACAAACAGTACATTTAGTGATCAATTGTGTGTGCGTTCTGACTGCCAGCTGGCCCACCTCCAGCCCATCCCTTGTGGGCAAACCTGTATCTGAACTATTATATTTTACAAAGTATAGCGTGACATCTGTTTTCACTGGAGCTCGGAGTTGCTGAAGATGATGTGTTCCTCTAGTGATGAGCTAAGTGTGCCAGTTTTTTTCTGTGGTAGCTTAATACCACCTCCAGCAACTACAAATTTTATGGTAATGTGAAAGTACACCTCCAATTCTGATTTGATTTGATTTGATGTACACTTGTTCCACAGATCCAAGTCATGCAGAGCTCTTTAACGCCAATACCCCTGAGTAAAACCTGGTTAACCCTGGCTGCTATGACACCCTTCACTGAACCTAAATCCTTTTTAATCACATGCGCACAACAAACACAGGCCAAACATGATGGTAATCTTTGAACACCTGACACCTCTGTTGTGTCCTTAGATGACACTGGCTCATCACATCTCCTTATTAAGTAATATCAAACAATCAATCAATAATTCCAACTTTACATCCATTTATTCATCTATCAGTTGATATGCTGACCATTGAAATGTTTAAAAATGCTCATGAAGTCAACACAGAACTTCTACTTTGTACAAGCTTGTTGTTATTCTGTGTAACATACACATGAAATCTCTGTCACTTGTTGACCTGAGGCTGAACTGTTGATAAGACCAGCAGAACATATCAACAGCCTGTCCACAGTCTCTCCGCTCAACAAGCAACACCACAAAATAGAGAGGTGAAACATGAGAGGCGTCCTGCACCACAGTATGACCTTGCAATGTGTGGATGCGCATGAATATACATGAGACTTTGTGTTCAGACAGGGTAACAGTTCAGAGAAGGCATAAGAGCGAGATGGATGAATCTATTATTAGACCAGTCATCAAGTCCTGAAATGACCTTCCCAACTCCTGCTCTGTGTAGCTGCCCTGGTGACTCCCAGTGGTGTCTCAGTGTTTCAGCTCTGGTGTCTGTCATAACTCTTAGTCTGACAGGTGGACAGATAAATTACCGTCTCCCTCTGCACAACTACAATTTGCAATACTAAAAATAATCGCAGCAGCTATAAGGAGCTTCTTCATAGAGTCACAGTCAAAAAAAAAGAAAAAAATATCTACAATAGTGTCAATGAATGCAATAAAGGAAGGGCACATTCAGACACTAGTCGCATTTATACCTTCTCAAATGTGTAGCTATGTAATTGTTAATCCAGTTCTACAGATATACACTAAAGTGGAAAGATGATGTTAAATTTTGGATCAGCTGAGTGGTTAAGCTTACTCTGGTTAGGTTTAAGATCTTAACCTCTTTAGCGATACACTTGAACTGAAATTAATTATGATCCTTGTGTTTTTCACTACTGTCATCTTTGTTGCTTTCAACGGTGAACGTGTTTCATTTTGCAACATCTTCAGTGACTAACGATTCCCATCGCACACTTCTCAGAAATGTTTTCCGCACCTCTATACTCAGTTCACTTTAGGTAATTAAGCTAAAGAGAATAACACAATTTTCCATCCCGTCCTGATGACAAAAATTTCCTCTCGATAACATAAGCTTCAAGTGCACTCGCTCCTCCAAATAAACAAAACCTATTATCACAGGGAGGGAGGAAGGATGTCGGTTGCTATACAACATTTCCCAGCATGCCGCCATAACACTATAACGAGACTGCAGGGAGCTGTTGCTCTAATATAGAAGATACAGGTCACTCTGACCTTGAGGTGCTGAATCTCAGGCCAAAATACCCAAAGGAAAGGCTGCGTCAGACAGATTGCAGCTTTCAGATTTCTTGCTCCAGGTCATCCTGAGAGCTGAGGATTCAGATATTTTACATAATTGGGACCTTTTCTAAGATGAAAATGCTGGGGAGTGTCATCATTATAATCCCAATTATACAATGTTTCAAAAGAGCTTTTGAATTTATGTGTGTATGCAGTTCGTCTTCAGTGAAGAACCCATTCATTTCTGTGTGTATTTTCATGTATGAGATAGTGAGATTTTGTGTTTGCTGTGGGTATGAATTACTGCCACACTGGATGTATGTTAGGTTTTACAGTGGAATAAGTTTCAAACCCATTTTTTGTTGTTTGTTTTATCATGAAGTCAGTGGTATGAATCCTTTAATTGATGTATTTTAATCTGACTAACCTGATAGCCCTCGAAGCTCATGTGTCCCATGATGGGTGTCGGGGCCTCCGGTGGTGCAGGGGCCCTCCTCTTCTTGCTTTCAGATTTGGGAGACATCCTGGACATATTCATGACCGACTGAGACTGACCCAAGGTACTGGGTCGGTCTTCTACGCTGGACACTGAGGACAGACCCTGTGGGTAAAATCAGGAACAAAAGGGGGTGAAGTCAGATTGACAAATATGTATGTAAGCACATATATGAGCAAATGTGTACATGTAGAGGAGTTGAAAGAACAATTTTCAAACAATTTAAGGTGAGTCAGACACATGACCACTGAGTTAAAGACATATGAATTCATCATGCTGCTGTTACACCCCCCCATGATTGAAATGCCATCACATTTTGAAGGATCGCTCAGAGTTATGATCCCAATTCGGAGATGCTCGGATGAAACTTGTGGAAAGAGGCTAGAAAAAAGTTTTAAAAGTTGCAAAATCACATATCCATACACTGGTTGACTTGATTCAAAGATTCAAAGAAGAATTCAGATGAAAAATCACTTCTTTCCTGGTCCATGGCCAACCTAACTTTCAACCAAATGTAATTGAAAAATATTACATGGCAGGATATCCTGTTACCTAACAAAGAAAAGCATTGACAGGACTGGTTTTTATTTCAAGGACTAAGGACTAATTTCAGAATTAAAATGAAAATTTTTATCATAAGCAGTTATTTCATATCTAACTTTGAAATTGACCTCAGAGGAAGATCCTCACTTCCACCATTTATAGTGTATCCAAGTTTAAAAACATTCACACATGCACATACACGTGCAATCTAATGTTTCTGAAGGTATAGTCCATTTTTTAACATTTATTTGACCAAGTTGAAAGTGCAACCACATTTTCAAAGGGTGGCTGCTCCTGACTAAAGCATTGGAACACAAAATGGTTTTCAATATCTGATCAAAGAGAGCCCAAAGTGCTCCTGAATATCTGAACCTCCCCGTGGCTCAGCTTGGTACAGAGCCTTGGCACATCGGGGGAAATCAAACCCCCCCATGATCTCCAGATCCCCAGAAAAGAAAAGTGTTTAAAAGCAGATTAATTGATGCGTTCAGACAATGCCTGGATACAGCATAAAAGCAGAGCAAAAAGGAACATAAAGTTCAGATCATTAGAATTAATTGGACCTAAGGTTAGAACATCTCACAGTGGGGGAGGGATGGGAAAAGAACAAAACTTCTATAAAAAAAAAAAAAAAAGCCCTGAGAAGAGAAGTCCAGTAGACATGCTTACAGCTTCTTTCATGTCAAAAAATGTTAAAATATATTTTGATTGTTATTTTTTATTCTTATACTATGAACAATAATATTGTATTGGGGAACCTGTTACACTGCACTTAAGTTAAAGAGATGAATCAAAGGACTGCAAGAAAACATGTGCACTTTTTGTACTTTTCAGCATGGAAATATCCACTGGGATTATCATGTAACCTTTACAAATGCCTCACCTTATATCCAAACACTATACTCATTGTATTAATAACATATAGTGACTATTGTATCAGTTACTGCTGTGCTATATCATGTGTCAGTGCCTAACATGGAAAGGGGTGAAGGACAGAGACAACATCCAGAATCACACTATTGTTTGACACCACTGTTTATAGCAAAAAAAAATAGATAAAAGGAAGATTCAGACAATAACATGCATCAAATGTTCATGTGAATTCAAATGTGCATATACGGTATATATTGCTTAGTCACAGTTTGTCTTTAATCTAATGAGGTTCATCGTTTGTAAATAAAGAATCCATTGGACTTTGAGAGACAATCCACATGACACTGGGAAGTGTGTTCATAGCTGGTACTTTCACAAAATACCCATGTAGATTCCTGATCACTTTCTCTATCTTTATGTCTTTTTAGGGCTTTAAGTTTGGTTTTCTATGTAACCAAGGTAATACCTATTATGTCTGTGATTCGTCAAACACACAAACATTATAGAAACTAAATGTGTAATAATCACATTCAATACAAACATGAAATAAGGACATTAACACTGTACAACCTAAACTTACAGCAGAAAAAATGACATTATAATATATTTAATAAAAATCTGTATTGTTCGGTTAACAGTTGTTCACTGTGCTGGGGGACTGACAGGGGTAAGAACAAGGCAAGGGGGAGGTGGGGCAGATGGCAGATGTAGGTTGACAGAACAGAACAAATAAGAAATGTTGGATGTGATTAATGTGATTTCCATTCTTTTTTTAAAGAAAGCACAAAATTCACATGAACTCTGGCTGACTTTCTCACTTGCTCTCTTCCACTCCTTCCCCTTATTTGGGGTCTGCCCCGCCCTCCACCCCCAATTCAGTGTCTCCTTAAACTGTTGCCACACCCTGAGTACCTCTCTCCCTCTCTCCCTGTCTCTCTCTCCCTGTGACTGTGTGAGCAGACACAGATGTGCTGGAGTCAGAGCAGAACCCCACCAGCTGCAAACAGTCCCATAATAAAGACCTCTATAAATACTCAGCCTCTTCCACTCTGCTACCTGTCAGTGTTGCTGCTCTTTGAGCCAAATTTGTTACCAGTTTTGCTGTTCAGCATTCAGTTCTTGTTGCCATAGTACTACTGTTCTGGCCCTTGCAGTCCTGTCAGCCCTACTCCTTCTCTGCCCTGGAACTCTGCACTACTCAGCCCTTCCTCAGATCCCACTCCTGCCACCCCAGCCACTAACTGCCCCTGCCCGAGACTAGCCTCAGTTCCTGGTTCACAGCTAACAGCCCCGATCTTCCCCTATCCTGATCCCCATCTTCTCCATACCTTGCAATAAATATCTTTTACCTCCTTTTATCTCCTCGTCTGTGTCTGCACCTCTTCATCTGTTCTGTAGCCCCTCTTGAAACTAGTCACATCACATTAATTGAAAAAGACAAAATGAAACCCAATAAAAAAAAAAATCATAATTAAGGAGTTACATAATGTGAAAAGCAGTGTTTCACTGCCCACTCTGGTTGAAAGTTTCATCTCTGACCACACCCAAGATCACTGTAGGTTAGGCATGGTTTGGTTGTGGCCAGAAGTGTGCACTTTTGTACCTGTAACCACACCCAACAGTGATGTCATGGTGTACAGATACATCCTTGAGTACATTTCTATACCACTGCAAGGTCAAAAGTTACCAAAACAAGATTTTCATGGGGTGTTAAGTTGCTCTTTAAACACAAACAAAAAAAAAATAGTATCACCAAAAGTAATAGGAGCACTACAATGGCCCACAGACACGTGACAGTTCACTTGCTTTTATAAAAAGTGTTACACCAGTTCCACCAAATCCTAGAAAACCACTAATCTGTGTAAAATCTTTTCATTAACAATCTACCACTGTACTGGAGCTTTAAGGCCTGAAAAATGAGTTCATAGTTCCCAAATTGTTCACTCTGTAACTGCATTTTATTGCTGTAATCAAGAGCTTGGCAAAGATAGGATGTCCTTCCTAACTTAACAAAATTAAGTGGCTAAAGTGGGGAATAATTTCCGGGGTGATTTGTTATGAGACACTTGATAAATATGGACCTTGATTTTATTTAAAACCTGAAAAGAAGAAGAGATAAATGTCCCTATTTTATGTCAGTTTGCTTCAGAACCCGCACTGCCCTTACCATGATGCTCTCTGACCATGTTAGCGTGTCAAGACCACACACACACAGACTCACTCACTCACTCACTCAGTCACTCTCTCACACTCATACACACACACACACACACACACACACACACACACACACACACACACACACACACACACACACAGTAGATTAGCCCCTAATGAACAATTAGAGATAAGAGGCTGGGCTTTTAGTGCTAATGTAGCCAAGGTAGGGTAATCTGATGCCTTCAAGCTGATAACACTGTATGTGTATACGTGTGTGTGTTTGCTTGTGTGCACAAATGCATGTGTGTGGTCTGATAACAGTCCCTGACAGAGAAACAATCATATCGGAGAGAAAAAGCCCAGTTGCATTAAAGCCCGCTGGAAAAAGCGATATGGCTGAGAAATAGCAATATGAATAAATATAACTTTGCTCTCACTGTCTGTTTAAATAAATTATAAACTTTCACATCAAAGCAAATACCAAATAGTCTGTCTATATTAGATTTAATGTTTAATTCATGCTCTGCTGCCATGTTTTTTTTTCCTTTTCACTTCCCTGTCTTTCTTCATTTTCGCTAGTTTTTTCAAACCCTAAAGAAATATTTGAAGGAGGATATGTTGTCAAAAGCATCTGATGAAGCCAATGAAGACATACAAAAACCCAAAATGAATGACGAACACAAAAAAAACAGCTTAGAACTGGAGGAAGAGGATGTAATTATGACAATGATCCAGCAACGCTGAGAACAAAGAGGTAAAGGGTGGAGAAGTTGAGCAAGCTTTGTGCTGGACAGAACAGTGAAGAGAACCAGAGTGAGTCAGGTAGTGTTTTTCCAGCTAATACAATCAAATGCCATATTGATCTGAGGTGAGCCACAGATGACTGCTGCTCAACTGGAGTTCATGGCTTCAAAATCAAATTAATGTGATTGAGTTATGGATACAAAAGATAGAGCTGCCTAATGCAGCATCTAAATGTCTGGTTTAGCACGGATGCACTCCACACAAAAACAGAGACACACACACACACACACACACACACACACACACACACACACACACACACACACACACACACACGAATACAATTTTATCTTGGAATAAAAACTTCTACATTGATTTAGCAATGTTTTTATGATTTAAAATCCGACTTTAAAGCCATTTTTAATGATGATTAAGATATGTTCAAATGTCCTCCACCCACTAACCCTTTTGGGTGGTTCAAGATTCTTATGCTGTATGTCTGAATCCTTCTATCTATCTCTGATCATCTCAGAGCACTTATTGTACACTCCCTACATTTATAATGACTGCAGAATAAAGCTTTGTATATACATCAGTATATGACAGTATTCTCTAGAGCCATTTTATTATTCAGTAGTCTTTTCTAGGAAAGAAAAGGGAGTGGGTTGAAGAACTGTGAGAAGCGTTATTAGGACTCCTCTTTGGACCTGTGATCCCTGAAAGACTGCTGGCTAACCTTCAGGAGAGAGTTGCTGCCCTCTGGAGGACATCAGTGCACATGACCACAACTCAACAATCAATAGTACATGAGCAACAAGGTCCTATTCGATGAATATGGCCCTGAGCTTAAAGGAAAATTTCCATATGTATCCTATATACGTGGCTATTGTGACTCTACGGGTCATGCTAACTTTGCACCTCCACCTCCATAATGAAGATCAGTACTTGGACAGAACAATGCATATTGGGGCAAGCTCCTATAGTTTTCCAAATAAAAATGATTTTTACATGAATCATTTCTTGTCTTTCTTGTCCTACCACCTAATGGCTATTTGCACTATCAACTGATGTAATGACTAACTTTAAACAATGAATTAATCAATCATTTACTCTATAAAATGTCAAAATAATGACAAGTGTGTGTGTTAAAATTGCTTGATGACAACAAAAAAATTCAGTAACCAGTCATGACCAGCAGTTATTTCAAAGCTGAAATTCTCAACAGAATGAACATTTAAACTGGACTGAAAAATGTTTGTGAAGCTGATTCACTTTTTCGTGACTTGTGAGACAGGAAACTTGACCATGAATATCATTGTCAAGCAGCACTGGTGGTACCTGAAACATCCAATCAACATTTCCAGTAGTCCACTATAGAGACCATCTCTTACATGTCATTCTAAGTGTTTCATTACAATCTGTTATTCAAAAACATTATGTACTCAGGGAAACCTTCTGTGTTATACATCATGCTGAATGCCATATCAGATTAGCAGCAGCCATGCAAGAAATGTATAAGGAATGGACATAACAACAGAAACCACCAAACAATGTCATGAAATCTAATACTAGTGACCAGCATTAAGGTCTCCTTTTGTCCGGCTGGTCCAATTTTTGTTGCCACAATGTCGACGCTGTGGTAATATTAGAGGTTTGTATTATATTGTAAAAGGCTTTCCTGTAATTCTGTCCACCCGCAATATGTGATTTGTATACTTCAAAGACGAGTAAGTGTTAGATAACAATTAAAACAAGATACCACTTTGATTTCACTTATCACCTCTGGTATTTTCAGGTGTGTTAGTAATACTCACATTGGATTGTGTGTCAGTATTTTCGATTACTGTATCATCACAGTCATCCATGTCCACAGATGTTGTCTCTGTCTGCAAATGGAAGGCACAGCTAACATGCAGCATTCAACTGTTCATGCATGCATTCAGCCTGCCTCAACTGTAACTATCAATATAGATATGAATGGCATGCACCGCTCAAGGTTAGTGTGTTGATTATTACACAGCCTCATTTTTCTCATGGCACTTCAAATAGCAAATTAGAAATAAGTCACTGCTAAACTTTGCAGACAGTTATGATGATGTTAATCTTGAATAATTCTGAATGAATATTGTCAACAAATGACCAATGTAAACAACATATTTCCAAAAAACAACAACAGCAGTTTGGAATCTTACCTTTGATTTCCTCCTGCTGAACTGGAAGATACCCAGGAAGCCTTTTTTCTCTGCTCTGCCCAAACTGGTGGTACTGGAGCGAATTGAGTCTTCAGAAAGAAAAAGAAGAGTGTCAGCGCTTCATATTAAAAGTCAGGGTCATACTGAGGAACAGTTTATGAGCAATTCAGTAGAGTAATTATTTCTGCATGCATAGATGTTAGGTTAACAATGAAATTCACAATGATTTTATCAAGACAGCAGAATACTGAATTGACAGTACACTCTTACTGTACACGTAAGCTAATTCAGTTTGATTCCTGAAATCATGAAATCGAATTTAAGTGCTTCACTTGATAAAGAAAAATAAATGTGTTGTTTGCATTTTTATTGGTCATTTCTGTACATTTTGGAGTGGTCTAAATACTCATCTTGTTTTCATTCAGAAGGAACACAGTAGACTAATCTACTGATTTTCCTCAGCAGAGGGCGCTATCGTTTTATTTTTCTCAAGGCACACTTGTATCTAACCTTCACAGTGTCTACAAAGCAGTAAGTAGGAATGTGTCATGATAACACTGTTGGCTTAAGGACAGGGCGGGAAGGTTAACTGACCATTACAAAAATCAGAGCTAAACTACGGGAGTTATATGGATTCCAACAAAACCAGAGGCAAGGGGAGTTAATAATAAATTATTTCAAATTGGTGGACATTGATGATGTTAGCACAAGTATCAAAATAACAGTGACATTAAACCAACAAATTATTTATTTGAAGACAGATGACTAACAAGCAAACACATGTCTCCAAGGTTAATAAGCAAGCAGTAGTACTTTGGGTTAAACAGCAACATGGGTTTGAATGGAACCAGCAATACTAAGACAGACAAGACTCATCATCACTAATACCTGAGTAGTTAAGAGCAGGGGCAGAAGCCATTTTAGGCTGGAGAACTGGAAAACATGACAAGGTGTAAAACACATTTAGTTGTATATGGATAACTGAACTGATTCATTTGTTACATTTGCACTTCTTTAGCACAACAGGATTTTCCATAGGTTACATGTCCATAATAAAAGCAAAAGGTCAATACCAAAATATAACCATTACACAACAGTATGTGACCATAAAAATTACATAATGTTCTAAATGTCATTGCTTAAATCTTTCATGGCCATCAACCATAAGCTTTTCCTCTCTGATCACACTCCATGACAAGAACTATATCTATAAATATCAGTGGGTGTGGACTGTTACCATGGTTATACCAGCAGATCTTAGACCATAATTCAACTTCCTGCGAGATAAAGGATTACATATCCTAGGTACTGTACCCCTAAGGATAAATTCTACTTACCAAGGTTCATTTAGCTGAACATAATGTCACAAACACAAGCTTACATTTCTGTTTATGCTTTGTTGTCACTGCAGCTGGTTAAACTAATATTGATTCTGACTGCATGTAACTTTATGTCAATAAATATTTACATGCTGGTCACGCTGTACTGCAGAATGCGGTGTAATTGTGGTTTTGTGGCTCATTGCACTGGCAGTGGAAGTGGGGCTGGATTTACTGAGTCTCAGCTTCCTGTTAAAGCCAGTGTGTCTTTTATTCTCATGAGTGTACACCGTACAAGAAGGTAAATAAACACTGTCGTTTTAAGGCAAGGGGTAAAAATATTTTAAGACCTTGCAGTTCACTAATAGCATATGCTAACTGATTTGGGGATGATATTAATGCAGGTCAACAGCAGTTAATAACTATAGCTGCAAAAGCCAAGGCTCAAGTCACCAATAAGCTTACCAACATTAGCCACTACATTCTCAGAGCATAAACCAAGACTGGACTCTATTCATTTCAATTAATTAAATCCAACAAAGGGATTTTATTCAAAGGTATTTCTCCATTAATACCTAATCTATTTTTTTTTATTATTATTTCATTGTTTAAAAATGTGGCTGGGTTATAGGACCATCAGTTTGAATGTACATTTTACATTGAGTAATTTAAAAGTGAATGTGGAATCACATGGTTAAGGTTTACCTAGACTGCGATCATGTACATAGAGCTCCTTGATCCCCAGTTCTGCCAGAGATTTTTCCAGCGGTAACTCGTGGCGACTGATGCCGTCCTTCAGGAGCAGGACATGTGCAGGGTCAAACTCACACTTGTCACAGATGGCTGGTGTCAGAGCCTGGAGTGGTACCAACGGGTTGACCCGCACCACTGTCTTCTGGCTACCGTGGTAGTTCACCATCAAACGCACTGTTTTCTGATACAGAGAGAGCACAAAAAATTTGAAATGAATGTCTAACAAATGGATGAGAGAAAAGGCTGATGAGGGCACACTGCTGTATCAACTCAAGAAATCTTCCTGTGCTCCAGTCAAAGAACAGAGATTTTTCTTTAAAAAAACCCAAAAAAAAAAAAAAAGAAACAATAACCAAAAAAAAAAAAAAAAAAAAAAACGTGCAGAATCCAATTGTCTTTCTTGGATGAGATTTTGAAACAACCATGCCAAAAAATATGTGTTTATTTTTCATATTAATTCTTCTACTGATCACAATATCTTAAATGCAATTCAGAAATTGGCACATATGCACATATGTTTTGGATATGTGCTTATGTGGAAAACTATGAACAGAGGAGCACAGACAAAGAAAGACTTCATTAATGAGTAACTGAAGTTTAGACTTCGGTTGCTGACAGAAAAAGTAACATTTAATAGGCTGGAGACATTGTCTGTGTGCATGTGTGTGTGCAGACATCCATGTGATCTTGGATGTGGGTGTGAAGTTGGACTGTGGTCAATCCCACAATACTACATAGTGTTCTTTAATGGAGAACAGACAAATGTGCCACTCTGTAAAGCAAGCGTTATCAGTAAGTGGTACACATCAGCTTCTATAAAAAAAACACACCACACTCAGAAGTCAAGAGGCTAAAGAATTCATAAATCATTCATTCATTCAGTCGCTGGCTCATCAGTGGCTTTTGTATATTAAGTAAAGTGGCATTCAAAGTCTAATAATTTTCTAGTTATCCATTATTTTGACAGTCAACACTGTTTTTGATAGATGGTCTATGGAAGCATAAATAGCACAACAAAGATTATGCATTTTCAAGTCACAAGCCAGGCGATATGGTCCTTTACATATTTCAAAGGTGGGTGGGTTGACTGGCAGCACTAGACAAAGGTTATGGGATTTTTCAAAATCAACAGGTTTTTTACTCTTGGGGAGTGCACAAATGGTGTGTGGCAAGATTTTCAGCCAGTCTGGCCAGTAGTTCGGATGCTGTTTGTAGAAATGCTTCAGAGAAATAATCAGAAGGATAAATGGACTGACAGATGGTGGAAGCAGTAAATTATCAACATCAACCAGCATCAGTGAGTAGCTGTAGTTTTTAAGGGTCTACAAATACAGCTGTGTATCGTAATGATTCAACTTGTGATTGTAAAGTCTTGAAATCCTAATACGAACTGTCTGTTCAATTTGTCATGGTTTCTTTTTGTGGTGAGCTTTTAATCCTTTTGTACCAGTGAAAGATACCAAGCTGTTGTTGCTTTCAAAAGTAATGTCATTCATTGAGCACCTGGCTGGGTGCAAGATGTTTAACTATTGCTAAGTGAATCAGTATAGTTCCTTTTTACAATGTTATACTGATGTAGATTGAACTGCATTTTACTGAAACATGTCTCTTATACAGTATTTAATCAGCAGCACCAACTACAGCCTCAAAAACTACCATTACGTTGAATCTCTAACAGTTCCAACAAATAGTTAGTAATAGATAGTAAACATTATAACCCCCATGAGGAAAAAGTATTATTGTGGTTTTAGGCTACATTAGTTTTAGCTGACCGTATTAAGCACAGTCTATCAAATTTCATTTCAACTGCTGAGACTGGTGGTACAATGAGAAGACAGATAAAACAGAGGAGAGAGATGACTGACAGCAATGTCTGAAATAGTGTCAGTCTCTGGCCTGAGGCCAGGCGGGGTCAAAGGGAGAGAGAGCAGCAGTGAGTCCTGAGAAGAGCAGAGAAATAATGCATGGTAACTAAAGGTAAGGCACTCATCAAATATTCAAACTGTAGGAGGAGAGCAGAGGAGAGGCAGAGAAAAAGATAGAGACAAAGAGTCTCATGCTCAGTAGAAAAAATAAGTTCAGATAAGCTAGTGAGCTGAAAAACCCATGACAACATAATGGATAGAAATATATGGGGAAAAGACAGAAAAGGCACACATAGACTGTATAAGAACTGACTCCAATGTCATGCTGGGCCAGTTTGATTCCAACTGGCTTCCTACCTTAGCATGGGCCCTTATAGGTTTCACTGGCCTTGCTTTCTGCCAGCAGTCAGAGGTAAAAGGTAGAGAGGGAAGGGACGAATATTACATAAGACTTCAGGGTAAGGTGCTGTGCAAGTACACCAATCAGCTACAACATTAAAACTAGTTACCTGTTTCAATGTTGTGGCTGATTGGTGTGGTTCATGTAGACTGTACAACTATTAAGGGAAAAGCTCTTGCTCTGGCCTTCTGGGATACATTAATCTACATGGTTTCATGCAAAACACAACAAAACTTCTATAACTTCGGAGTATTTTTTTGTAATTCTTGTTATCAGTTTATAGGATAAATGTCTCTACAGTCAAAACGCACAATAATCCAAGCCGAGCATATTCAACCTTGTTTCAGCAGGTTTTAAATATGCAGTGACATGTATAAAATGCAAAATACAAAGCACACATGACAAAAAGAGCATCCAGATCACAGTTTCAAGCTCCACTGTGACTCACCTCTGGCACTTTGGGCGCAGGTCTGCGCACCACTTTCTCCTCCCAGACTTTCTCCTTGATGAGGACACAGGCCACGTTCAGGGAGCCCAGCAGAGCGTTGGGCTTGAACCCCAAAGGGTGGCCCTCGGGCGACAGCAGCTCCAGGGTGTGCAGTGCTGGATTCAGGTGGTAGCGGCTACACAGCTCAACCAGAAGGTCCATCAGCGCCTTACTGAGAGAGGGAGAAAGAGAGAGAAGGGAGGCGAGAGAGAAAGTGAAAGAGAGAGTGGGGAGGAGGGAGGGAGTTTGGAAGAAAGAACCACGAGAAGAGATGGGGAGCACAGGAGAAAGAGAGAGGGGAAGGGGAGAAGATAGGGTTACAAAGCCTGCCTAGCTTTAGCTCCACTAAAGAGAATACTAATTACTTCACACAACAAACCAGAGTCCAGTTCTCACCTGATGCACTTAGAAGGAATGGCTAATTAGTAGACATAAAGGACATGATTTTGAACACTAAGATAACTTATTTTCACAAACTGTTGAATGAATGGCAATAGCACAGATTTTGACATGAATCAAACCTGAAAATGTGTGTGAAAAAATTCACAACTTAGAAGTGGCAAGGTGCTAGCTAGACTACTCTATAGTTATAATATTGGCATTGACTGAAAAATGTAATGAGTAGTGGGACCAAACATGAGCCTAAAAATTACTTTCAGAAGAACTGCTCTTTGAAAAATACAAGAAATAAATGTACTATTCAGCTATTCATATTTTAATGTGCATGTTCAACAGATGGCAGAGAAGTCACTTATCACATGTAAATTTTATCTGTGTGGTTTATCTAGACAGAAACTCTGTAGAGCTTCCCACAATAAAAGGACAGTGAGGTGAGGTGGGGGTGGTATTTGGGGGAGTGGGTTGTTGCAGGGGATGAGGAGGCCTGAAGCCCTTTAGTACTACCTGTCAGTCCTCAGATAAAGAAACCAAGAGACAGTGTCCAGTCTTTTCTGGGAACAGCCAGATCAGATGACAGAACTGAGAGAGATACCACTACAAAGGACACCATTGACAATCACTAACAAATAGACACAGTCTACGACTAATACGACAATCTGCAATCAGTACACCCAGTGTCCTGCGTTATGTGCTTCTTAACATGATTTTCTAAGTTATTTGGTATGTCACAACTCAGTCACTAGCTGAGAGGGGGGGTCCACTGTAGTATTGAAGACATGTTACATTTTAACTTGTTCAACCCCCCAGTTCACATGGGGACATTGTTTTAAAGGCAGTTTATGTGGCCAAGCATTGTTCATTCCCACTGAACATTAGTTTGTAGTCCAAATCATGAAAATAATTTTCAGTCATGAAAAATGACAATACAGGGAGATGATGCATATTGCATAAGGCATCTCTTTTATCTGAAGCAATGGTGCAGTCATAAAAAAATTACTTACTGGGTTTGAATATTCATTTAAAGTGTGATATTATTACAAGGCATCAATTACAAAGCCAGATAAAGAATATGTATAGTCAATGAGTGCAAATAATGCATTATCTAATTGTTACAGCTGTCAGCAGTGCCTCACAATGCTCTATCTTTAATGTTGATACTGCACATTGAGAATCTGGAAAGGCAAACTTTATACTGAAAATGTACAGTATTACTGTAACATAATAATAATATCTGTAACATTAACTATTAACATCACATCTACAGTTCTACAACTACCTGCAAATATGTTGCTATTTTCAAATATGAGTACAAAACACTGTTTACTGTTTTACATTCTTTTGTTATCACTAAGTATATCTTATAAGTTTATCTTATCTGTTTAACTGCCCGTGTTCACACAATAAATTGATTGTTTGGACGTTGTGCTATTTAGTATCAGCTGTTTATGGTGTTTATCACACCTCAGTCATATTTTAACTAAAACTGAACTATCAAAATATCAGACTCTGATGATGTTATTGAGCAGAAGGTGAACTGCAGACACAGAAAAAAACTGAAGCACATTTCTTTACCATAAATGATCTGGAAGGAAACCAGAGACCTGATGGTTAACCACAATATGATTCCCTTATATCAGATGAATAAAGGATGCTAAAAAAATACCAAAAAGGATCTCCCTGGTTGCAATACTACCACAACCTTTTGTAAAAGTTTGAAGCAATCCGTGCCATTTGAAAAGGTTAGAATAGTTTCACAAATTTACCTGTAAAAAAGTTCCCTTATAATTTCTAAGACACTTTGAAAAACCAACTTAATTTTCTTCACTAGTTAAAAGGTATCACAGAGACACTTGCTGACCTAAAGTTTCTCTTTTGTCATTAAAAGAGCACCTTGTTGCTCTGTACTAGGGACGTGTCCCTGATTTTCCGGCCCACAGGAGAGAACCTCATTAGGGGCAGAGAGCATTAGCAGGTCAGGCTTGATCTGTCGACTCTCTATGACAATGGGACCCCTTGGCAGGGCCTCACTGGCACAGCAACCCATACAGACCCAGAGACAACAAACAGCTTTCATACTGTTTGTCTGAGAGACGATAATGAAGGTCACCTCATAGAATCATATTGTACAGCTAAGCATAAACTATGATCTTTATATCTATAGATAAGCAAACAACTTGGTGATGACACAATTTACAGCCAAACGCAATGTAAAAATATGGCACAGAGAAAACATTGAAATGGGGGCGATACATGTGAGTGATAATGTGTGCTTGTGTAGTCCTCTCTGTCCTCTCACCTGCCATCCTCAGTTACAGAAGTCTGGTATCCCTGTGGGAGAGTTAGCTGTAAATCCACAGTGGGCCTTAGCATGTTCTCCTTGGCGTCCATGCCCGAGGTCCCTCCCCCATCAGGTACAGCGTTTCTGAAGATGTGGCGTGGGGCGGGTTGAGGGACCTGCGGCGGAGGTGGGGCCCGTGCCTTCATTCTCCTCCTGGGGGACAACAATGGCAAAGATATACAAAAAGGAATATTATGAACTTTTTAGGTTTCCTTCATTGTTCTAGGTTTACCATTTAGAAGTATAGCACACTAAAGTAGGTAAACAACAGGCATTCACTTCACTTCAGTATCGTGTTTACAATTCATGAATCAGTCATCAAATAAGTTAAGAGGTTATCATGTCATTAACGACACACCTTTTTCATCTGATGCACTGTGTTCACATTCTTACTCACTTTTATTGATTCTTATTTGAAAAAATAAAATCATGTAGATATCTTTGGTTTAGCTGAGTCATTTTATTTTTCCTTAAGTTCAGTCTTAGTCACATGGCACCACAGCCTAATGAACAACAACCCATTGCTGCCACCCCAGGAGCAGCCTGAATACCAATTACTTCTTTTCTGTCTCTCTGTTTCTGTTTGAGACACAACCTGTCTCTTCATTTAGATTACATAACAGTCTACAGATATGCTGAGATGATCCTTTTGGTTGACAAGATGACAGCAGCTGTTTATTCCATCTGTTCCTCAGCCTCCTCTGAATAATAATTTAATCATTTATAATAACACCTTCTCTGATATCACTCCTAAACTTTCTCACTCTTGCTTATAGAAAACAGTGTCACATAATCTTGTTATTCTAAGGGAGAACGACTGACAACATCCCTCATCAAATCTTATTCAATGCCTGGACACTTTATTTAAAGACATACTCAGACAATGAAGTCAACAACAATGTAAACAGCAAAGTAATATGTTATATATATATATATCATATATCACCTCCTCCCTGACATTGACTGATTTGCAACAGTCATGTGTTTTAAAGAAAAATGTGTTTTAAAGAAAAACACATGACTGTGATAAAATTGATACATTATTTTAAACTTTTAGGTATTTGGTTGGCTCAGAAAAAGAGACCACAATACAAATCCACACTCAAACCACAGCTCATATGTTCATATGGAGATGTGGCAGATGTCATTGACATGCGAGTGACGAGATGCTGCTATCTGCACATTTGACCTCGGTTCAACATAAACTGTACTTAGCCTGACAGAGACAGCTGATTAGACAGAAATCAAACACTTCATTCTGCTAACAATGACAAATAGCTATTCTATATCACACATTTCAGCATGCACTCCCTCTCTGCCCTCATAGCACAAATATTAGACTTAGATAACTAAAGAAAAACATCCCACTCACGTCACAAAACAGCCCTTGTGTTGATTAAGTGTTCCAATAGTGTTATATATCAGTCTGTTTATAAATCCAATTCCCAGGATTTGCCTCTCTCATAGAGAGTTTGAGTGGACGTTTAGTGTAGTCCAGTGGTGTATAATCCAGTATCCTTCAAGATAGTCCTGCCCTGTTTAAAGGGAAGGACAGCACAGCAAAGGAAGAATGCACGTGAACCTAGCACAGAGAGCGGACTCTAACCTGGCTAAAGTTAATCATTAACAGCTACGTCCAATATCAACTAACTTTCACCCACGAGACCTATAGTGTCATTGACTCCTTATGCAATGCAGAAAATGCTTTTCAATGGAGACATCATGTCACTGAAAGACAACTCTTTTGGTTTGACTGTACTGAGCATTATCAAGGTAGGAGTCAAATAACAGGGCATATTATTTCTAATCATTAACTGAAAAGTACAAACATATGGTTTACTCACTTAGATGTAAAGAGAAGAAAATTATTTTCATGAGCAGCTTAGAGACCTGTAAATGTATGAGATTTTCGTAATTTTCTGGTGAGTCTGCGCCTTTGAAAGTAAAAAGAACCTGGCCCTGTGGAACTGTGGGACTGGGCCCCGGCCAGGCGCAACACAGTTCGCTAGTATCCTTCTCTCCATCTCGCTTGCTGTTTGTCTCACCATAACATTTCACTCTCCCTCTCTCCCTCTCTCTCTCTCTCTCTCTCTCTCTCTATCTATCACCCTCTTTTCCTCTCTCTCATATGCACAAAGACTCCTTTAGGGAAACCCTCGTCTCCCACAGAGTTAGAATGAGCGAGTGTAAACAGAGAGAGAGAGAGAGGGAGAGAGTAGAAGAGCAGCAGGGAACGAAAAGCAAGAAAACCAGCTCCAGCACAGGGGGGCAGTAAGTGCTTGGACTGCTACAGCGACTGAATTACAAATGGGCTTAAACACACACACACACACAGACACAGACACACACACAGACAACCACAGACACACATAAGCAGAAGGTCACTAATGGACCTTTCAGAAGCACTCAGTTCTTTTCACTTCACTTAACAAGGATATATTTCTTTCACTATCCTCTTCTAAATCTGTTGGCTTTTCTTTTGAACAGGGACAGTTGTTTGTTTAGGCTTGAGGTGTTAATAGCACTCAAATTAATGTTTATAATTATAACAGTACGAATCTAAAACAAATATTGCATTCATTTCAAACTGCCAAAGGTGCTGTAGACTCATGTGGTCTGTGGTAAAATCATCCAGGACATCATGTTAGCAGCTGTAAGACGAAAACAAAGTGAAAAGAGAGCATCATAGAACCCACAGTTTGCACCAAATGCAAACTGTTGTGAGACTAGTGTATTGGTTAGCTAATTTAAACGCACATTGTATGTAACTCTCTCTCACTGAGCCGAAACATCAGGGAAGGACTGAGAGCTGAGATTGCTGCCAACTTTTGTTTTGATTGTTGCTCTGTTAACTTATGAACCACAAGTTTAGGAGGTTTTTACTAGCAGCCAAACTATCCACATTGGAGTCCTCCTCTCCATAACAAATGGAAGAGGGTTAAAGAAAGAAGTTAGAAGAAACACCCATAAAGTAGTTTCAATTAAAAGATCAGTTATTCTGGGCGCTCGGGTGGCTCACCAAGTAGAGTGCCTACCAAAAAGGCTTAGTCCTTCCTACAGCGGTTTGGGGTTACAGTCCTTCCCGTGGCCCGCATGACATTTCCTCCATCTCTCTCTGACTTTCCTGTCTCTCTCACTGTAGCTATCCAAATAAAGGCAAAAATGGCCGAAAAAAAAAAAAAAAAAATTACAAAAACAAAAAAACCGGCTGTTTACCTGCTGACCGAATGGGGTCACAGGTCACAGTGATTTTTAGACATTTTAATGTGGAAAAGAAAAGGTGTACATATACTGTGTATATATATATATATTATAACTTTAAAGGGAACATACACTAAAATCATCCAAGTCTGCCCGAGTAGTTAATTCACAAAGCATTTCATGGTAACACTGGCACATAAAAACATAGCTAATGTAAGAGAGGTTTATTTTGTAGATACTGCAGATGTGTTGTGCATAACTTCCACCTTCTGCTCCACAACAAAAGTGTAGTCCATGCAAATTCAAAAATTTATATTTCTGCATTACATCTCATGTAAATCTCACAACAACAGAAGACACTGATAGAGTTGTTGTGGAAAGTAGTGTTAATGATGGAGCGATAATCTAGGAGGGAAGGTCCAGGTGTCTATGATGTCATCTTTACGGCATAAACTGGTAAACAGGTTAGCAATAGAATACAAGATCTGTATTAGTGTAATACTTAAGTAGGCACAAACTATTATGACCCTTACCCTTTGCACTCAGTGAATAGTAAGCAACAGTTTAAAATGTAGGTCTATACACAGCCCACAGTCATCTTGTTTTTCTGTCTGTGTGCTACCCTCTTTAACAGATTAGTCTCAGTGTCTGCATGTGGCTGTGTGTGTGTATTTACAGAGTGTGCGTGTGCAGACTACCTCCTCCCTGACCCAAATACAACCATGCTCACTCCTGATCACAGCCACTCAAGATAAATCATGCCTGGATGTGTAAACATGATTGTGTTGGTGTGCATGTATGGTTGCAGATATGTGTAAATATCGGATAAAATGAAAAAACTAAATTAACTGGACAAATTCAAAACTGTCCCACAGTGAGATGGAAAAGGTGTCAGATGATTTCAGGGTGTAAGCAAAAATGAAATGCGCTTCAAATTGCAGGTTTGAGGGTGCCAGTACTTGTATAATGCAAATCCCTGTACGTCACAGTCAGATTACTGATGTTTGTTAAAAAACTTAAATCACATAAAACTGATCAGACTCACTGGAGACTACCTTATGTTTTTTTTTTTTTTTCTTTTTTTGCTGGGGGAAAGAAGTAACTGTCAGGGACTGTATTTATTCCAGCTATGGAAACACAGCCTGAAACGTTCCCTCTCTGGAAGCTCTTACAAAAATAATGGAATATATTAGTTTATGCTCTAAATTGTGCTCTGTCAGCATCATCCCCACCAATACAAATTCCATTCACCAGTGGCCCGTTTTTTTAGTTCCTTCATCAGTCTGCTATTGATACCTACTGATCAATGGCCACATAACAAAATAGCAAAAGCAAGCGCAAACAGCAAGAGAGAAACAGAGACAGACAGACTGACCCGATCTAAATAACAAAGTCTCTTGTGGATGAGAGTAAATATAACTATGATTTAAGGCAGTAGACAGAGCTACAGCACAAACACTCACAAAGTAAGTCAGTCGAAGAGGCAGTCATTACAACAGGCAGACAGCCAGACGTGTCTCCAGTCAGAGACATCCCATCAGTGTGATACAATAGGATCACTGAAACAATGAGTTACTATTCTCTAATGAAGACAACCAACTGGGAATGGAACAGATTAATTGGCCAAAAACATGGCTCCGACTGACCTACATTCACTATGACACACTTTGTGCATTCTGAGAATATAAACAATGGATCAAACCAAAACTCTACAGCATTAAATAAGGATTTATGTAAAAAAAAAAAAAAAAAACAAATATATCTATATATATATATATATAGTTATATATAATATATATATATATATATATATATATGTCACCCAATTAAACTGTTTGTTTGAGTAACACAACACTATACAAGACAAGATTTCAACTGCACTGCCTTTCTTTTGACCATTAGAAGGACTCCACCAAAGACTCACTGTCTTCAACACACACACAAGCACAGGC